TCATTCATAGATGCAAAGGAATCTCGAAAATGCGGAACAGATTTGGTAACACCAAGTCGCATTTTTGGCAAATGCCGCTGGTGTCGAAGTATGCGAACAGAAGCACTGTAGCTTGCGTCCAGATAAAATTCACACGACAGCAGTAAAGTTGGCACTGCGACCGAATAAACGACAGCCTTAGACCTGCGTTGTAAACAGCTGTATGACCTTATGAACAGTGGTCCCTAAAGCAATGGCTTCTTGATTGATCCATGCTCCAAGATGGGTGGGTTATATTCATTCAGTGTATTCAGTGTACCCATTAGAGAACGACTACTGTCAGCGATAGATATGGAACACATAGTCGTATTGAGCTATCAGCAATGGGACGAATGTTGCAAATGCTTTCATTGGGGATGCATGGGGATGACCACATAGCAGTGGTCATCTTTCGATTTTCTAACATAATCCCTCAAACACTAGAGTTCTTGTCCGGGCGTGATGATCCACAATGTTGCCCTACAACTACATCCACTTAGGTCGTTTGACCAAAGATTTATTTTGATAGACTGACTGTTCTCCAGACGATAGTCGTCCTAAACTGTTCCAACCAATATATAGACGCCAGCACCTCCTTGTCAACCCAGCCTACTCCAATAAACAGTACTGGGTTTCAGTCGGCTCCTGAAGTTGCCCTTTCGAACTACGTTGACAGGACCAGTATGGAAGCGTACTGGTGAATGGTGTGGTGTCGATGTTGACTTGCTGAAGAGCTTGTACTCGGACATGCCTTAAAAGTTATAAGATATACATCAAATGTGTGGGTGCGTCGAGGCCTATGACGGTATGGCCTAGACGTAGACCACTCAACCATTGTGGCGCACCACTCCGGAGGAGTTAACAGTCAGTTGCGCTTATGATTTGTTGAAATCACTGGATTCATGATAAGGTAGTTTCTTCAAGAATCACCTTTCCAATGCAAATGTATGTATACGTAGCCACTCGTCAAAATGCCCAGAAAATCGTTTAGTTATCGGCGAAACAGAAGACCCAAAGTTTTCCAAATCTGAGCAGTTCCCAAGAAACGTTGTCAGATCTGATACCCGATTTATAGCAGAACGTATGGTTCGGTCGGATGAAGTCGGTCATGTACTATGTTACGCTCCTGAGTTTTTGTCCCTTGCATCCAATATGGTTAGGTAATCTCTCTTTTAAATCCTGATCAGCACTTCCCAACTTTTTTCAACCTTAAGAAACGTATGAACACTGAATTTGTTCCCAGCAAACATGTAAAAACTCACGGCCTAACAGTAAAAGTGGAAACCCATCTTCGGCATGCATCACAGTGAGACTTTGTATGAAATTAGCTACTATAGCAGTTTCGTATTTGAGGGATTCGTTCATGTATCACCTCTCTTCTCCACAAGCTAGAGCTAAAATTACTCCAAGTATATTACACTGAAACGATTCACCGAACAGTAATTCTGTATGAGGTCCATGCCATGCTTCGATTGGCATTCCTTACAACCAGGATGCAATTGGTTCCATGTAGTGCTTTCAATCATTAGTCCTCAGACGTCCTTCGTACGAAACTAAGGGACCTTTCGGCGTATATTGAGGGTGCACCTAGTGCGCTTGGGTCACAAAATATCAACGAACACAATTCGGTCAGGTGACACGATTTCTGATGAACTTCCGAAACAAGTTTGAAGGGATTTTCGAGGATTGCAAATCCTCAGCAATCACGCAGATAATGTTATCATCACATCCGTCGCCTAATGAATGGCCAACATGCTTGAATTTGAGCCCACTACAGAGACTGCTCCGGGTCTACACGCCTGGTGATGCGGAAGCCATTGCAGCTGGATATTTCGGGGTGCTCATGGTATTGAGCCATCGAACAGAAGCGATTCTACGGTGAGCAATCCGTCGACAGTCGTTTTCGTTCGTTTGACAACGTCTGCAAAAGTACCCGAAAAGCTGAGATCCATTAATCCCTCTACACTCTGTGCTCACGCTTCGACGGAGTGGTTCTGAATCCACCAAGGACAGTATAGATGAGGTTCTCGGTAGTTTTGTGCAACTGGCTAAACGCTCAGACAGCATTGTGAGTGCTAGTAACATGAAAACCCAGGTAGGTGGGGTTAGAGCTGGTGAGGCACATTTGGGATGAAAAACAGAAGCACGGACAACGGAGAGTGCCTGCTTTAGGCGTGTCCACCACTTGGCGGCGGCGAGTCGATAACTGCCTGATGCCAATTATGGAACACCTGAGTGGACTCCAACATTGTACTTGTTTGCTGCTACTTTTCATTTCGCTCTTTAGACCTACGCAAAAAACGCACTCCTCGCTTAGCCATTGAGAAGCTAGTGGACACGGAAACCAAACAAACCTATCAGAAGCAGCTTCAACGGCAGCCCGATACTAATGGCAAACCAGACAACCAAAACCCTACTGAACGGCGCAACTTCCGTCTGCGGTATAATCCAACCGACCCCATTCAAACATTGGATCTCTCATAGGAGTGCGGATTCGCCAAAGACCCGGCGACAAATTAATCTTGCTTTCAACCAAAACCAAATCTATAAATCATCCGACGCCACGTGAAACTGTCTAGTCAGATTGGGAAGTCTTGTGGATGCGAAAGACCGGATAAATGAAAGATGCGCAGAATGCCATAGATTGTTCCTCTTGAATGTTTGACTGCTCCCCGAAAGCTTACAGTCAGTGAAACTACGAGGGAGCAAAAGGGCTCTCTGATATGCAGCGAAGGGGAATGTTTGGACTGCTGGACACAGTACTTCGAACTACGATTCAGTTTGCTGCCTGCCACCACCAGTTCGGAATGCGGGAGTTCAACGGAAATGGAGGTTGGAAATATGGAGCGCTTTCGGCTTCAAAAGTGTTCAAGTGTATACCTCCACTCAAGCATCATCGTGTGCTGGTTCTGGTCACTTCATTTCTGCTCTGTTGGAGGTCAGTGGTGAACTGCTCAACCAGGGCCTCTCTAGCCAATTTGTGTACATGTGGGATAAACAGACCATATAAGACAACTCGGCTGAGTGGCTAACAATGTCCACCTTGAACTCGAATGCTCGCAGTGAATACAGAAAACACGGGTACCAGTTTAACCGTTGTACCGGCACCACTGATTCTTCTCGTCTCACGGTAACATAGGTAACCCTGACCAGGGAGAATCAAGGGAGATTTCGACCAGACTTGAGCTGCTTCGACCAAATCTTCACAATTCATCAGTTGTAATAACGTCATATGTGTCCCAATCCTTCAGTTCTCTTAAAAACACTCGCTCCACAAGGTGCGCCCCAGATTTTTAAAATAATGAGGTTCCTAGATTAACATATTTCGGGGGCAGTTGTGAGTAGTCAATTTCATATAAAGCTTTTGTACAAAAAGTGGTGCCCATAAGAATGCCCACAATCTTCATTCTTATCCACCTTCGTCGTCCACAGAATAATGAGACGAACACTGGGAGATCTCTAAAACCCAAGAGTTCATATGGTTGCTAAGATCCTTGTCAATCTGGACAACGCAGACAACGTTGTCGAGTTGAAATGCCATTGGCGTGGTCCGTCTTCCATATTGTTGTCCAAGCTATCGCTTTGCGACTCGCTGGTGACCTTGCAAAAGGTGGTAGCTGGTGGATTTCGATTTTCTCCAGATGTCTCATTGTGCAGTTGGAGGTACAGGCACCTCAGGATAGTTGAGATAGCCCAGCACTAGGTCTTCTTCCTCACCCACTGCCTTCTTTTTACTTTAAATATTTAAGCATAGTTAACCAAACTTTGTGGTTGTACTGAAGAATTAGTGTCATAGTGGACCTGCTGCTTTGATGGTGATGAAGACGAGCTTTGAGCGAAGTGGTGAAACTCCCCGATGGCTCCACAAACCCGTGATCTTGTGAAAGGACAAAACTATAGTGTACAAAATTCTCGGAGCTCAGATCGAACCATGTACTAGTGAGTTAGCTAATCCGAATTTGTGGGGTAGAAAACTTGTCTAAACCGAACTTCAACAAATGCTAGATTAATTGTTCTGTATCTTCAGGGACAGGTTGCGTGGAGTTCACAGAACATATGTGGCCCTTCTGAAGATTTCGCTTGAGCGTTCGGAGATGTTCGGTTCTCAAACGGCTAGTAATAAACAAAACAGAATGGTTATGAACAGCACTATGTTCATCCATACACGTAACTATATTCACCCATTAGGTACTTCCGTGATCAAAAGTGGAATCAATCTGTTCTTGTCTATAAACTGAAACAACCAATAACGGATGGCCTTGAAATCGGACAGATGAGGGCACTCGTGATACACAAAGCAACAATGAGCTTGTAAATAAACAGCACATAGTGAGCATGACTGTTTACTGCTACCCAAATCGAGGTGACCAACAATCTTATGACAGGCACCCTTGAAGGGAACTACCGAAGGAACAGGCAGATTCGAGTGGAAATCGCGCCTGCACACTGGAAGCTAACTTTCTCACACCATTTGATCGATCCTCATAGCAAGTTCGATTAGAAGCTAAGATGTGCCACGGAGTGACGAGCAACGGTTCACGTGAATTCGAGAACTGGAAATTCCCTGGGACATGAGGTGAAACAGACACACGATTGTGTTCTGAACCGTGTAGGCGTACAACAACCTTGAGCGTTTCGTTCCGGTGTGTGTAGGACAGTGAGCCTATGCATCGTCCATCTTTCGGTGCCTAGCTGCCATGCCACACAAAGGAGGCACGAGGGATGGGATACTGCCAGGTAGCCCAAGCCTAGACAGGGGAAGTCGAGTGGCAGAGGTCAGGTTCGAACCACAGACATTCCGATCAGTAAATTCGCGCTCTAACCACTTGGTCCATCTCGCCCCCGAGCCTATGCATACGGCAAGTCCAGTACGATACTATACGAGTTTGTGCCAACAGGCCCACCTGTTGGTTGAGACAAGACTGTCACCAACGGGTGATAAATGATACCACACAGCGCATTCGAAAATAGCGAAACTAGGGATAAATAGTAATTAAACAGAATGACACGACGGGTAAAAATAATAGGACAGAAATCAAGCCGTAAAAACCAAACTACAATAAAACAAAAAGAACAAATGGAGAATGAACAAGAATCCTCGGCATTTCACGCCTTATTCGCACAGCACCGAAGTCGTAACTATAGATCACTATAGAGGCGCACGCCGACAATGCACAAAAGGAGAAAAGTGAAGGCGCTCACTGTCATGCAAAATGAACCAAACAAACGGTGATCATAAGAAAACTAAGCAAATAGAAAAAGTGAATAAAATTATGCATAGGCATCTGAAAGTCATGTTGAATACGAGCTTTCTGAAAGCAGTCGATGATGATGAATGGACAAATCTGCCAAGTTGAATGCCGATGAAGTCACTATCTTAGGGACCAACTGGCGGACACTCAAACCAAATGCATACAAAGATGGCCGAGGTGAAAACGGAGTTGAAATGGTTAGCTCAATGGGCTGAAATGCAACAGCTCCGTTAGTAAACAATGGTTCGTTTGAAAGTAATGTGGTAAATCTGATCAAAGTGAGACGTGTAGTTGATGGGCAAGGCACCGTAGCAGTTTGGAGTAGGAAACGACACGAAGTCCCTGCATGATCGAGCAAAGGTTAGATTGGAAACAGCGCAATGAAGTCTTCTGGAGAGAGGAGACGAAGACGAGGTTCCTGTTTCGGATAGTGGCAAGGGTGTCCAAAAAGCTGAAACGGGTGATGGTATAGAAACATGAACTGACTTAGACGAACAACTTGAAGGCAAAAAGCAGTAGCCTAGAACAATAGTTTTCCTAGTGTTTGGTGAACATCAGGCGATCTAACATCTGCAGAACCTTTTGACAAAGTCTCTACAATACGCAACACTGAATGCATACCAAGCACCCCCGATCAAGCTACTGCGATGGAGCATGGTAAAATGTAGTCGGTTTTCTATGACGAAGGTAATTTACTAGGCAGCAAATGGTACTGATGGGACAAGAAATTTTGGTCTTAGTTAGAACGATTCATTAATGAAACTGAAGAGTTGACACCGGATGCTAGAAGTCGCTTGTCAGAGGTTGTAATGCCTTAGCTTAGTTCTCGGTCTGAAGCTTTCAAGCTAGCGTTTAAGCAAATGAATTACCAAAGATGCACAACACGTATTAAACAATCAAAACCAAGTCAAAAACGCATATACAACGAATTGTATCTAGTGTATGAGGCGATACCATTCTGGAAATCCTGACGCCATCTGGAGGCGCCACTGGCACCCTGCATTCGACGGCTAGTAAATGACAATTGGATGTTGAGTCGACACATTCGGCCCACCAGAACTCGCTTTGATGCTGGGCAGGCAAGCGGTTGACTCTCCGGCCAATCGCGTGCGGGCTGGGAATCATGGCGAGTGGGAGCGTTGCGGGGTACCGTTTAACAGAGGTATAGTTTACAAAACATAGCTCGGACATCGATGCAGAAAAGATTAAATAAGCAAAACAGCTTTTTCTGTCCTATGGGATACCTTCTTACTGGAGGTAGCTGGAGGGTAGCTGGTAATGACAGGTGCTGAATAGCCATTGAATATGTATTGTTTTCATACGAAAGTTGGGTTCTCCAACTCGAATGATCAACTTCAAAATAGTGTTTTTACTGCCAGTAAGCGAGGGATATCTTATAAAACACAGAGATGTTCAGAAAACCCATTGCAGAAAAGTTCTGTGATCTTAACAGTCATCTGCAAAGTTTTAACAAAAAAAAATCGCTTCCAATAACGATCGCTTTCAAACTATACGTAAAACACAGTAGCATCCACGATGCCATCGAAAAGTCGTCCCCTCAATAGGCTTTTTGTCTCAATGATCTGTGGCTTGTCCACATGAGGGTTCAATGCAACTTTGAACCAACCAGCTTAGTTAAACGGCCTTGCTAACTGACAACGGATTCTTGCCATTAAAATAGTCACTGATTCTGAGCATGATAGCGAAACAAGGAAAATCGATAGGACGATATGATATCGAGTGCATTTCGCATGTTTCCAGAGTTCGAGTGAGACTTCGAATGCTGAGCTGGTTAGGACTGAGTGGACATCCTCATAGACTGAACAGAAAAACGCTGGATCTCGAATGGGTCACACAGGTGTAGATTGAGTAAACAGTTTTATCGTTCTTGACCCCATTCAAAGCAATCAATACCCTATGGTTTGCAAAATCAGAGATGTCAGAAGAGGGACATCAAAACCATTGTCGGTACGATTCGGAGACAACGTGGGATTGGTTCATTTGTCGAGGCGCTTAGGCAGTTGTAGAACAGGATATCAAACAAACTCCGTCGTTTTTCGAAAATACAAGTAATACCGATTTGCCGCCACAAATAACAATCAGTTCAACCGTGCTTCCATGGAGTAAAGATTTGAGAAAGAGCTATTTTCTCAGGCCCAGAACAGCACTTATTTTGTAGGCACTTTCTTATGAGTAGATGGAGGAACAGTTAGGTGTTATACACTACACAAAATAGTAAGCACTGAAAACAAGAAAAACTAGTGAGTTTGCTCAGGAAGAAAAACCACGTGACGGACACAACATACCGGCCAAAATATACAACAGCACACTTCGCAGGCCGCCAATTTGGCAGTATAAAAATGTTGGTCCCCATAGCGTTTGAGGAGACGCAAATAGGCCCTTCGCCAATTGCAGTCGTCCATGGTGGCTGGAGGTTCATCACGCCAACCTGGGCGGCCAAAGTGAACTGAGGACATTTGCTCCATATCGAAGTGGGTTAAGGTCAAGTTGCGCCACAGATGATCCTCCTCTACCAAACTAGCTATTGCCCCGGAAGCCAGTGAGGCAGTTTCCAAGTCTCGTGGTGAATTAACGAAGGAGAGGACACGTGAAAGACATTCTGTAGGGAGCTTTTCCAGGCTCACGTCGTCCGCTGTGGATGGAGTCCATTCACTGGCTGATAGTGGTTTGGATCGTTGCTCCTTAGCAACGGCCCTCAAGCACTAGAGAGGATGGACACCAAAAGTTGCGAAAAAATGGAAACAAAAAGAGACTGAGGAATGCAGAGTGCTTAGTCAATCTATCAATAAAAAAGAAAGACCCTAAGGATCTTGAACTTCTAACGGGCATCCAAAAAGGAAAACGGCCCTGTGGGTAGTGTCAACGATTTGCATAAAAGGAGTCTCTCCAAGAGTCCACAGGATCGGAAGGCTTCCCTGTAAGACGTTTAGGTGAGCTTCTGCTTTGGCCGATCCCTTATCAACAACTCAAGGGCCTACAAGCGTGACCATATCTCCACACGTGTTGGGTTCCGAGACAAGCTAGCTCAATTTCGACATACCCTGGTGCATTGTATACCTTACGTAGTTTAGGATAACAAAGTGACACCGACAAACCTATATGCAAGAACGCTGTAAGGATCTTCCATGCACCACGTTTTCGAGGTGAAACAACGTCGCTTATAATCAACAAAATCTAGATGCCACTGAAGACCTCCTTGAATCCCAACGAGCAACCTCGCAGAATCGGAACGTGGGACAAATGATATTACCAGACGCAGAAGTAGCTAGTGGGGACGTGGTGTGAGCCACAAATGTGAAATATACAGAACGTTACACGATCCATCGGCACATCAACCTGACGCTATTTTCACAGTGGACGTCGTCTGTGTGCAAAGGGATACAGTTGATACAAGGTTATAAGTACCTCGGGATGCTTCGATATTGGTCGTTGCATTGCCCATATGGTTCATAAGATGGAAGCATAGTTGCTGTGTGTGATGAGGATAGACACGAAAAAACCCTACCGACATCTTAAGTAAGCGACTTGGAAGTACAACCAAGACATTCCTCACTGATATGCATAGCCCTCCATGAATCGAAACCTAAGACAACAGAAAAAGTCGTAATATGTGAACTGCACGACACTATATGTATGAACCTTTTGAGAAACAGTCCTGAAGCGCTAAAGTAAACCACATTTCTGCTAAGATATTCTTGCAATTATCACAAGATATCTCCATAAGATTCCTAAAATGACACGAAAGCAGTCCTAAAACGTTCTAGGAGGAATTGAAACATCACTTAATATCAAATAATTTATATAACAGAGACACTGGAGCACACCGTGGTACGACGGTTTGTGTGCATCCGTGACCCACTGAGCTAGACTGGGTGGTGTCCGAGTGACACTCGCAAAGTCTTTCATGCCAAGCTAATCAATGGTTAGAAGTCTGACTAACACAGTCTCATGGCCCTCAAGCTCCGGAATTGAAATATGTGCGACGACTTGTTCTGTAAAAAATGTTAATGCACCCGCATTTTCCGCCAAAAATCAGCACCCTACAGCCAACCTTTTGAGTCAAATGACTTGGTCGAAGACCCTGGAAGTCCTCCTGTCTAGGTGTGGGCACCCTGGCAGCATCCAGCCCACGTGCAATCGTAATAATTCCAACTAACAACACCTTCAGGCCACATCGGCCGTCGCGTGGTGTCACCATCCAGGTCCACGCACGACGGAGCGGGTAAGCGAAAAAAGCGCTATTGCTAACAGTTCACTTCTGGCACTTTTACGTATTCCCACTTCTACCCTATCCTACCCAAATTTGAACACTCTCTCCGCAGACCCCAGCCCTAGGGCTGATCGCTTTGTTCGCCAGGCATCAAGCTCACCTGCAGCTTCTGTGCGTTCAGCTTCACCAACAAACTTAAAACCTTCCAATTCTAATTCAAAACCCCGAAAGCTAGTCTAAATAGCCGCTATAGTGTTCACATACTGAAGCAAGCAGGACAACAAGCGGCTCCTGCTTGCAAGCTGGATCATCTCTGCATTGACGTAGGCTCTTTGCTAGAAACAAGGGTCGAGGACGCAAGTACTCTAACTGAAATAACTGCCCCTCACTGTCTTCCAGGTTCCAGCTGTGCACATCTGGATGCCACTGCAGCTGGGTATGTTGGGGTGGGTTTTGTATTGAGCGACCGCACGGAAGCGACTGTGCTTGATTGGTTGATAGTCGTTTCCGCCCGGTTCGTTTGACAACGTATGTGAAAGTAGCCCGAAAAGTGATATCCATTGTTCACAGTTTATTGTCTGTTTAAACTCCAACTGACTGTAGCTCTGAATCCGCTAAAGACGGTTTCTATAACTCCCTATGTGCTCTTATACAACGGGTTAAAAGTTCGGATATCGTTATGGTTGGTGGTGACGTGAGCATCCAGGTAGGTAGACTAATCGCCACTGATGTCTAACCGGGTGGTCTTCTTGGGTTGGCTACAAGACTACGGATAACGGAAAACAAACAAATGAAAACAAGCTACCGGTGTGCAACATACCTTCTCTATATCGAATCCGTCCAGTTCCGCATTCATTTCATCAACGGCCTTCCGATGATTGTCCCACAGTATCGCACTTCCGATGTGATCATATTTGTTCCTCTCTAGATTGTCCAGCAAATCGCTCAAAAGTTGCCTCAACATTGCAGTCTGATTGCAACTTGCTTGAACTATGAAACGTAATTCGCTAGGTAGAAAATGAAATGGCAAGTTACCTTGAGACAAAATCGCCCTCAACAACTCGATCAGAAAAAGCTGAAGTCTGCCGGTCAGCCGGTGAAAATGATCCTTCAGAAGTATTTGGATAATCTAAGTGTTACAGAGGCAACAACTTCGCTACCTACTTTGCACACGTAATTGAATCGCCTGACATCTCTGATCGCTGCTTTCAAATCCAGTCCGATCAAAGCTTCACTGATTGTTGTGGTTGTCACGACCTGAAGAAAGCAAAAGATTGGATGCGCGGAAAGATGTTTTTACTTACGTCACGAACTGTGCCTATCCGGAGATAGACATGAGGTTGGTAGATGACCACTCTCAAAAGATCATTCACATAGTTCATAGATTGGTCTGTATCCTCGATAAGTGACTGTCTGCAAACACTGAATACCAATTATGACATCATGAAGCGGTAAAACTAACCGTCTAACCACCGTCTCATTCATTCGTTCAAACATGCGCAAGCGATAGATCTTGGCATTTTCCCACAGGCTTCCACATTCACTTGACCGCAGCCAGCGGTCTCCCGGATATCTCCAATCTGGACTCAAGAAAGGCATCGATGCTTAAACCGTTCCGATAAAAAGGACAATGCGGACTAAGACAAACTGGACTGGTTCGGCACACCAACCGGATGAGAATTCGACGCCCAGTAAACAACTAGAAAAGGCAGACCAGAAGGGAATTAGTAGAGAATTTCGTCAGAATGGAAAATCGTTAACGGATTCGGCAAAAGAACAACAGAGTTGTTAGGTTGAATGAAGGGCATTATTCAAATGGGATTCCCCGGGCTTGCCGGGTACGGTAACCTCCTGATAACTCGATACGTTGAGAATTTGAGTAGTATGCAGATATCGAGTCCAACATGACAAGACAGAGCAGCAATAATACTGGAAAATAGTGTACTGTTAAAAGGTCAGCAATATACTTAAGACGCCGGTCAAGAGAAAAAAGCTGCAGGGTGGGATTAATGTCCTTAAAAGGTAGTCGCCCATCCATCCGGTGGCCATCCCATGTTACATTTACGCTCGATGCTACCCGGAAGGAACGCTATTGGCTGTGGAGTTAAAAGCCATGATTTCCGTGGACAGCACGTGGTCAGTTGATAACGCTTTTTAAGCCCCACTGATCCTGACGATGGCTATCTCTGTAGAGTATGCAGGTGCGTTTATGCTTCACACTGTGTGGGCGGTGGTCGTGGATGAGAAAAATCATGAAGATTTCTGTATTAGGATCGTCTCGTCTCCACGGCATCCCTGTCTTTGGACGAAAGCCATTAATACTGCTTCGCTGGGTGACTGGTTGTGCGACAAGTACTTTAACTGCGGAAAACATCCAACACCATCAGTTGCGTTGGCTCGTTCATGTGTTACAAATGCCGAAACACCATCTACCGTGCCTCCTTCGTGGCGCAACCCACGAGATGGACAACGTACGATTGGCGGAAAGACGTGAAAGAGACTACAAAGAGTGCGGGTGTTGTACGAATTACAGGATGGGGTCCCCGTGAACCCGCCTGCGCTTGGCTGGTGACATTACAAGAAATGGCGGCTGATTCATGTCACTGGTGTTCGTGCTGTCAGTTTCTTTCCAAATTGTCTGATTGAGGTGTGGGCACCTCAAAATGCTTGACAGAGGCCAGATTTAGGTCCCCTCCCTCACCCATTCTTTTGCCCTTGTTTTCACTCCAAGGCTTTAAATATAACTTGATGACCAATATGGCTGTACGGCAGTGGACCATCAGTGTCAACACTGATGTTGCTGTCCCTGATGATGATGATGACGATGAGTGCTCCGCTGAGTGGAATCGATCGGTGCCACCTTCTCCGAAGATTGGATGAACCTGAACGTCTACTTCGGGTTGTCACGAAGAGACTGGACCCTACCGTGGTGTGACGGTTTGTGCACCTAAGCGGTCCATTCAGCTATACTGTGGAGTGTCCCCGTGACACTCACAGAGTCTCTCATACCAGGTCGGTCAATGGTTAGAAATCTGACGAACACAGTCTCCTGGCCCTCCAGGTTGGGAGTTGGAACATGTGGCGACTTGTTCCGTAGAAATCGTAATCCATCTGCATTTCCCGCCAAACTGCTAGGAGTCTGGATCAAGCAACATAGCTGGGGATAGAGTATTGCCACGATCCGCATATCATGTTGTTTTGCTCGCAGCGTGATCGAACCGTAACATATTCGGCGACGCAAGATGGATGCAGAACAACTCAAAGTAATGTTTGAGCAACAACTGTAACTCATCAAAGTACTTACGGAGCGACTATCAACTACATCTTTGGCCTCACCGGCTGCGTCGAGCGTCCCACAGTCGGTTGATGGAATCGCTGGCAGTATCAACGAATTTTGCTATGAACCCCCAGTTGGCATAACGTTTGATGTTTGGTTTCGTCGCTAGGAAGACCTGTTCAGGGTCGATTTTTCACTTCAAGATGATAGTTGGAAGGTTCGCCTCCTGCTCCGCAAACTTGGACCCGCAGAGCATGATAAGTACGCTAACTATATTCTGCCAAAAAACCCGCGCGATTTCACTTTTGATGAAACGGTCAACACGCTTTCACAAATATTCGGTGAGCAAACGTCACTTTTCAACATCCGTTATCGATGCATGAAGCTAGTGAAGAGTGATGCAGACGACTTCCTCACATATTCTGGCATCGTGAACCGAGAATGCGAACGGTTCAAACTCGGATCGTTAACGGAAGATCAGTTCAAGTCGCTGATTTTCATATGTGGTCTACAATCCCCGAAGGATGCAGAAATCCGTACCCGACTCCTCAGCCGCATCGAGCAGGACCCATCCATGACGCTGCAGGCCGTCACCTCGGAGTGTCAACGGTTGCTTAACCTGAAGCATGACACCGCGATGGTCCAACTCGGGGGTCATGGCGGTTCCGAGGTTCATGCAATACACCAGGATACGCAACAGCCTGGCCCTGTCAATTCTGGCCCAACCAAATCGACCTCGCAGTGTTCTGGTCCGAAGCAAAACAAAGGCTCAAAGAAGACACCACCTTCACAATGTTGGCACTGTGGAGCCTGGCACTTCGTCAGGTTCTGTCCTTACAAGAAGCATCGGTGCCGCCAATGTAAGTCCGTGGGACACAAAGATGGATATTGTCAGTCACTGATGCATACGGCCTCTGCTGTTTCAAAGCAATCATCACGCATCCGTCCCAAACCGAAATCGAACCCTGTTGGCTCCTCTCTCAGTTTGCTGGCTACTTTCCAGATCAACACGCCAGGTAACCGGAAGTATCTGACAGTCACCGTAAATGGTCATCCAATCCGTCTGCAGTTGGACACTGCGTCGGACATTACCATCATTTCGGAGAGGCTTTGGCGCACGCTCGGGCAACCTCCGATCAGACAAGCAGCTCGAACTGCAACCAGTGCCTGCGGTGGAGAGTTAAAACTTTCCGGTGAGCTCCAGTGCTGTGTATCTTTTCGAGGAACTACATTTGTGGGGTCGTGTTATATAACGGCAACTGAGTTGAACCTATTGGGTCTTGATTGGTTCGATCGCCTTGGGTTAGCCGACATTCCAATCAGCGCCGTTTGCAATGCAGTTCAGTCTCCTACAGCGCATCCAGATCATGCATCCGACATTATGGAGCGATTTCCAATTGTTTTCCAGTCCGGTCTCGGTCAGTGCACTGCGACACAAGCAGTCCTCCACCTCGTGCCGGGAGCTACGCCAGTCTTCCGTCCAAAGAGACCAGTTCCGTACGCTTCCCTCCCACTGGTAGATGCCGAACTTCAACGGTTGGAAGAACAAGGCGTTCTGTCCCCTGTATCCTACTCTGCCTGGGCAGCGCCGATCGTTGTAGTAAAGAAACCTAACGGTGGCATCCGCATATGCGCCGATTTCTCAACCGGCCTAAATGCAGCTATCCAGCAGCACCATTATCCACTACCAGTACCCGACGATCTATTCACTGTTCTGAACGGTGGGAAGTTCTTCGCCAAAATCGACCTGGCTGAAGCGTACCTTCAAGTTGAAGTCGCACCAGAATCACGCCCACTACTGACAATCAACACACACCGCGGGCTGTATCAGTACAACCGTCTTCCGTTTGGCGTCAAAACCGCCCCAGCAATTTTCCAGCAATTGATGGACACCATCCTTTCTGGCATTCCAGGTGTGGTCGCATACCTGGACGACGTGCTGATCGTTGCTGTTTCACCCGAAGAGCTTCGTGAGCGAATCAATGCCGTCTTACTGCGCATTCAGGACAATGGCCTCCGCCTCCGTCCCGAGAAGTGTCAATTCTTCTTGACAACTGTGAAATATCTTGGGTTCATTTTTGACGCCTCTGGTCGCTATCCTGACCCGGAAAACGTTCGAGCTATACAGCAGATGCCACCTCCTAAGGATGTACCATCATTACGTTCCCTTTTGGGGTTAATCAGCTACTATTCGGCATTCCTGCCTTCGTTGCACGACATCCGGCCCCCGCTAAATCGGTTGCTTGGAAAGGATGTCCCCTGGTGTTGGTCAGACGAATGCGAGGAAGCATTCTGCAAACTAAAGACGATGCTCAGTTCTGATCTGCTACTTACCCACTACAACCCAAAGCTGCCGATCGTTTTGGCAGCTGATGCCTCTAATTTTGGTGTCGGTGCCGTCATTCTACACGTCTTTCCAGACGGATCGGAGAGGGTCATTATGCGTCGAACGAAATCACTAACCCCAGCAGAACAGCGATACGCACAGATAGAGAAAGAAGCGTTGGCCTTAGTGTTCGCGGTTCGGCGTACAAAATGTTGTAAAATCACTAACCCCAGCAGAACAGTGATACAAACAGATAGAGAAAGTGTTCGAGGTTCGGCGTTTCCACAAAATGTTGTATGGCCGCCGTTTCACCCTACTTACCGATCATAAGCCATTGCTCTCCATTTTCGGCTCAAGGAAAGGTGTTCCCGCGCACTCTGCCAACCGCCTGCAAAGATGGGCCCTGATTATGCTGGGTTACGACTTCGATATTCAATATCGGCGCACCACCGACTTCGGTCAGGACGATGCATTATCTCGCCTGCTAACAACCAGACAACACCTGAAGAAGACAGTTATTGCGCAAGTTGCATTTGAGGACCCAGCCGATCTCCAGTTGGTCCAGTTCGTTCGTGAATTGCCCGTGACAGTAACAGAGGTTCAAAGAGCTACCACTGCTGATCCAACGCTTCAAAAGGCGATCCAATTCATGAATTCTCGGTGGCCTTCGAACCTCAAAGATGATTGTCTTCGACCGCTCTTTCATCGCCGAGATGCATTAGCGATCGTAAAAGATTGTTTAATGTTTGGAGATCGCGTGGTGATTCCTCAACCGTTACGACATCGAGTTCTTCGTCAGTTCCATTCTGGACATCCAGGAATCAACCGTGTGCATCAACCTGTGTATCAATCCGTGATATTCCCAATTATTCACATAATTACCGACAGGATGTTTTACCAGTTGGGGAACGGTAATTACGGTCGTCGTTTAGGATCCGTTATACCGTCTGAGAATGCACCTTATAAAAGTCAATACATTCGGATTTTCTCGTTCTT